TAAAACTTATACCCTTTCCTATGATTAAATAGAAGGAGTCGATTTCAAAAACTAAAAAAGCCGTTTCCAAATCCACAATGGCGGATAATTATAACATGCAACTGCTGCTGAATTCGACTGACTCTGTGTAGATTGTCGGCATGCATATGCATAACAAGTCAATCGATTTAAAAGCACATGTAATTTGTATGAAGAGAATATTTGAGGTATGACTAAGTTTGTACGATGAATGGCGCGAAACTAAACGTGTTCTTGCTACAGGGCTTTTAAGCGATGATGGACATTGATGCCAGTCAAAATTGCATTTACGATTACGGGCAATTTTCTTGCAAGAATGTCTAATTACTGATTAAATGGTTTCATACAAGAAATAAAAGAGGACTGAATGTGCTTTTTGAATTTGCTTTGGAGCGTTGCTTTTTGCTTTTTTTCAGGAACGGTTAAATTCCTTGGCACTCAATCGTTTGTAAATGTATCAATCAGTCAACCAAAGCTACTGTCGTTAGAGCATTCRTTTTKCAGATCATTGGGACAACAAATATCAAAAATCAAAGASAAACTTTACCTTGCTTAAAGATTTGGAAGAAAGTTAAAAGCAGCAAGATGAAAAGATGCTGAGGTACCAAAGAAATCATCGCTTTCAATGGCTAGCCTGCGTCATATCCGAAATTGTCTGCGTCTTCAATTAAAAGATATGAATAATTTGTGGTTAGGCATACAACATAAATATTTAATTATTGTTGAAATTTTAAAAGTCTTAAAAATTCGGAATCCTAATCTTAGTCAAAGTTKTTATTCGAGACTTTGATGCAAAATTCTTAGTCAATAAATGACAAACAATTAATGTGTTTGTTTAATGTTTGTAGAAAGAGTCAACAATGAAACAGACACGTTTTTGACCCAGTAACTGAACCTGAAACAGAAACTTGCTTTTTGACAGGTTTCTTTTTTATCATAAAACCCCCTAGCTATATGTCTAAGTTTAATCAATTACATATCAGCATTTAACTGGAACAGAAAGGAAACCAGGTAAAAATTGCACATGGTGAGGCTAGGGTTTAGAAATCAATCAAGGTAGAAAAAAAACAATTGAAAAGCAGAGATTTGACCCATTTGTGCAAGTAGTTACTTGTGTTTGAAAACAGTTCACAGACAGCTTAAACTTCGTTTCTTCAGAATATGGAGTGATTACTGAAAAATTTTTATCATTGCATATTAATTATATAATGCTTCTAAATTTGGAAGTATTCGTTTTTCGAAAGTTGGACATTTTTGTTTTTACGTTATTCATGGGCTGTAGAAAAATATTTGGTTTGTGACGGGGAAAATGCTTTTTAGTAGACCACATAAGTGACTAATTACTCACTTGGATTATTCTATCCATATTTTATTGAATGTTAGATGAATAAACATGAATTCAATAGTCTTTTTACCTACTTTTTCTTCGATAAAACTCGCCATCTTTGTTATTGATGAGCCTGCAATATCTTTTTAGGAAAGACAGCAGATACGTCATTCTGCTTTACTAAATATTAAGAGGCCCAAASTACAATTTTATCGTACTAACACCTTGATGCCAGATGATGACGCGACATCTCCAAAAAAGGAAACTAAACCCTGTCCCCTTCATCTTAATAAGGAAAACATTGTTCGATTGTTCTACGGATTATTTTCGAGGGATTTTTTAAATTAATTAATTGTAAATGTACTAATCTCACTACCTAAAGAACATGAAGAATTGATTCTCCAGTCATGAGTCATTTCTATGGATAAAATGCAGGCGTTTAGCGTCTAGGTTTAAGTATTTTATATCAACACGTATCGCTGTTTCAAAAATATTTTTATTTCAAATGGTTAGAGTTTATACTATCCCAAAACGTCTTATTTTGGATGTTTCTTACAGCCATGAAGAGCTCACAAGGATTCAATGCTTAGTAAAATGCAWAGCAGTATTTGTGATTTCCAATTTATTTAAAGCTGAGCTGAGCCGTCTATATTTTTAAAACAGTAAACAAATGATGTTAGCGCCGAAGTTAGCTCGCCATATTTTTATTCATGCACTAAAACATTCTTTTAAAGTGCTCAACAGTAAACATATCATGTTTCATTCTTTCTAAGAAGAACGTTTTATTGACAGCAATGGCAGATAGATTCGAAGAAAACTATTAAAAGAGGTCACACGACCATTAATTCATGTTTATTCATCAAATACTAACATAACAATAAATAAAACACGGATCGACAGATCCAAGTGAGTAATTAGTGATTTATTCGGTCTACTAACAAGCATTTTCCCCGTCACAAACCAAATATTCTCCTACAGCCCATGCGTTATTACTACTATTGTCCTCATGATAACTGTTTGTATTTGATATTAATTCTATTTATGAAGATGACGTCAGTCACTTCGGGTTCTGTACTGATACGGCTAACGTCATGAACATTCTTAATTGTTTACATTTAAATTACATTGGCTGCAATTGGAGATGAACAAAACAAGCGTTCATGAATTCGGATGTACATTGACTTTTTCTCTAAAATCGTTTATAGCATGATCACCTTTTGATAAAATGAAAAGTAAAAATACTAACTCATCGCTTCAGTGTATACACTCTTGAGAATGATGAGAATGATAGACGAAATTATCGAAAAGTCGAGAAATCTAATTTGAATGATTTTTTTTAAAGCTAAATGGTAAGGACATATTGTTTAACATATTGTTTATCATTCCAGAATAACCGATTCATATATAGGCTCTACAATGTCACCATGACTTCAATTTTGGCTGCAATCAATCTCACTATACGCGTCACGATCTG